TTTTTTTTTTTTTTTTTTACCCCCCTGTCATTTCTACAGCTGCCCACCACGTGCGGACGGGCACCTGCGAGGTGGTGGCGCTACATCGCTGCTGCAACAAGAACAAAATCGAGGAACGGTCGCAAACCGTCAAGTGCTCCTGTTTTCCTGGGCAGGTGGCGGGCACCACCAGGGCCGCGCCGTCGTGTGTAGACGGTACGCACCAACATTTTTCATACATCGTTTAAATGTAGTCACTGTTCAGTCTGAATATATTTGGGTTATATTTATCTTTGACTTCCACACGACTGTCAGAAACTAAGAAATTTGAGGAAATATCCGCGGCGAAACCTTTGGCTACACAGCATGGCTAACACTTGGCAACATCGACGACATCGACGTTCGGCATGGACGAAGAGAAAAACACATGCATATTTGAAGTACTTCCAGTATGTCTGTTACTGTCCTGCAGGACTCCGTATACGATACAACGATGCTAGCTACTTGAGCTAACACCTGCTAAAACAACAAAAAGTTAAATGAAGATTTTTTTTTGTAGCTTAGCAACCAGGAATAAAAGCTTAAACATCACAAACAGCCAAAAGATTTTAGATCAAATTGTTAGAAATAGAACGATTGTTATAGAACAAAAAAACATGCTAATGCTAAAAGGTTTCTTGTTCAAGACAAGATGCTGCCAGCAGTTAGCATCTAGCTAACCGTGAGCACGTAAAGAGAAAACTGGACAAAAAAATCTCGATCTTTGCAGAATTCAAGAGAGAGAAAAATTCCAACAAACATCTGTGGAACTAAGTTAATAAAACCTGGTAAATCCCTCCTGAAAGTTTAAGTGACCCGATACTGCAGTCAATGACCCCGAGGGTCTCGGTGCATACTAATGGGTCAGAACCCCCGGCCTGGCTGTAGCAGCTGCCTCCACTTTGGTCTGAGAGGCGGCGGAGTCGGGCTGAACCTCGGACCCAATCATGTTTGACCTATTCCTTGACATTTTGCTATTGACATTTTCTGCAAATTAGAGCTGTGAGCCACTGGCTTCGGTTTAAATCTCCGTGGGTGATCTTGGAAAAAAAAGTGATCAGCACTTAACCTTTTAATTATTCTTTTTTTTCTCCACCGGGGGATTTACCTCCCGCTCCAGTCTGTGAGACACAGACCACGTCTTTAATATCATACCACTTTATCAAACGTCTGACGTAACAAACATTATGAGAACCTGAAGAGGATCAGGCCGAGGGTGAAGCCCACGCCCCCCTGTGGCCCCCCACGTCCATGACCTTGACTCAACCTGGATTATCCCGATTCATTCACACTGTGGCTTTAATTACAGAGCATTAACGCCAATTAGTTAGGGATTTCCGATATAACGTTTTTGCCGATATTGTCCAAACACTTTTTCCGATTTTGATAATAACCGATACCGATATAGTGGGGCAGTGTCGGCCTGGTGGTTAGGGAAGTGAAGTGCCGCCTCTTCACTAAGGTGATGGGCTAAAGCAGTGTTTATCAATTATTTTCTGCAATGCTGCCCCTAGGGGACAGCGGTTTTTAAGCCCCCCCCCCAAAATAAAATAGTATCGGGCGCCTGGTGATATTTATTTATTTATCAGTACAAACCACTGTATGAGTTGCTGGACCAGCATTCTGCAGACAATCCCGATTAATAAATTGAGCTGCAATGCTGCCATCTAGTGACTTCTACTGTCATATACAGCCGTTTTTCCCCAAAACTATTTTTAAGCCACACATCATTTGGCGAAACCCAGACATCGCATTATCGGGTTTCGGAGGAAAAACCGTTAACAATTCCTACAGCTGTTAGATAATCATGCTAATATCAGTCGACATTATCGGACAATTAATTCTTTATTGTTTTTACTACGTAAACATCCTCAACCTCAAGGTCAACACCAAGAACCACAAATATATTTTCCGCCAACGCAAATTAAATTAACTCAAACGAACAAAGGTCTGAAACGACGTTAACGTTCACACCAGCTGTTTCCGCCGCCGTGTTTTCACAGCGCCATTAACCATCAACGGCTGAAACGTGTCTCGTGCGTTTTATGTACGTTTGGTCGTCAATACCGTCGTTCCATTTCATCACGAACCTTTGTGGCTTTTTAATAACCACTCGTCCCTAACCACCATCTGCTCGCAGTTGACCTGACGCCGTTTATATTTTTACACCGCGACGCCACCGCCGCCGCCGCCGCTGCTGCTGCTGCTACGACCACGGCTGGGTGGCGCCAATCAATTCCCGGTTGTCATGTGTCCATTCAGTGTGGATTATAATAAGTGTGCTCTTCATTAGTAAGAACACTAATGGTGTTCTGGAGCTTTGGAAGGTGGATAACGACCTCCGTAATGTCCTGTGTTTAAATGATGTCTTGTACAATGGAGGAGCAGGGGAGGCGGGTGACATTCAGTCGCTACTGTGGCTAAAGGATTTCCTCTCTTACGAATCACAGTCACAGGAGACCACGGTATATTTTTTTTCCAGTTCATATTTTGATCACACACTTTGTATCTGGGCTTCTTGAAGTATATAAAAAATATATATATATTTCAAACGATCAATCGATTTACACCTGGCATTTGTCACGTGTAGCTACATGAAGGCGTGTCCTGACTCCATCGTCAGTGATTTTCTAAAAACTAAAACCTTTCCTCTACGTATTAGCAGTGGGTCCCAGACTCGTGCGCCGCCTTCTAAAACTCACCCCCAATTCCCCACAACTTCTTAAAAATAAATAAAAAATGCAACACGCATTCTTGTAAAGACAGCATGTTTAATCATGCTCAAATAACCCCCCTAGTGGCAACTCGCACACCTGCAGGGGGACTGTGACAGGCGGTACAATTAAATGCTCTTCCACTAGTTGGCAGCAGATGTCCATATAACTAAAAAAAAAAAGGTAAAGAGACTGAGCAGTCGAAGAAGATTTTGTGTTCGTCTTTCTTCAATTCCTGCGAGTACATCAGGACTATGTTCAACTAAACAGGACCAGATTTCCAAATGAGAATGGTTCTGGTTCCTAGAAGGCTACCATAGATTCTTAATGCTAGCTGCAGTGTCTTCATCAGTGATAAAGGCCTCGTCTTCTCTTCAAATCTACAATGTGGAAATAATCACCAGATAAAACTTAAACTCTCTGATTAGTGACATGTGCAAACTCGCTCACCCCTATGGATAAATGAACAAGAATCACTCTTCAACAAAATATATATATATATATATATATATATATATTGTCATAGCCCTGGCTCAGAGAGCAAGACAAAAATGGGAGACCACACACTTTTAAGTAACTTAAAACAAAAATATTTATTTTCTAACCAAATATCACAAACCAAACAGGAAGCAGGTGCTCTGAGAAATGGTCGGAGAGAGAAAGAATGAGAAGGAGGAGCCAGTTAAATAACCTAGGCCCAGCCTTCCAGGTGCACATCCAATTAGTAGCTCCACCCATCTACCTGGAAAAACCTAAAAGAAAACAGACACACCAAGAAATGACCAGAAAAGAGGACGGGGTCGTCACAACGATGCCAGAACATATTTCCAGTTAATCTTGCACTAAATCTAGCATATTTTTGCCTGTTAAACACGTTTTCACAGTCCACATGATGTTCTGAAGCATCGGTATTAAGGTACAAGAACATTGTCACTGAGTTCGAAAATGAGCGTTTCTCAGTGAGAGACGCACGTTTTCGACATGCACTACATTTTCTTATAAAACGATGGCAGAACACATTTCCAGTTAATATTGCACTAAATCTATTATATTTTTGCTTGTTAAACACGTTTTCACAGTCCACATGATGTTCTGAAGCATCGGTATTAAGGTACAAGAACATTGTCACTGAGGTCGAAAATGAGCGTCTCTCCCTGAGAAACGCACGTTTTCGACATGCATTACATTTTCTTACAAAACAATGCCAAAACACATTTCCAGTTAATCTTGCACTAAATCTAGCATATTTTTGCTTGTTAAACACGTTTTCACAGTCCACATGATGTTCTGAAGCATAGGTATTAAGGTACAAGAACATTGTCACTGAATTCGAAAATGAGCGTTTCTCAGTGAGAGACGCACGTTTTCGACATGCATTACATTTTCTTACAAAACAATGCCAAAACACATTTCAGTTAATCTTGCACTAAATCTAGCATATTTTTGCTTGTTAAACACGTTTTCACAGTCCACATGATGTTCTGAAGCATAGGTATTAAGGTACAAGAACATTGTCACTGAGTTCGAAAATGAGCGTCTCTCCCTGAGAAACGCACGTTTTCGACATGCATTACATTTTCTTACAAAACAATGCCAAAACACACTTCCAGTTAATCTTGCACTAAATCTAGCATATATTTTCTTGTTAAATACATTTTCACAGTCCACATGATGTTCTGAAGCATAGGTATTAAGGTACAAGAACATTGTCACTGAGTTCGAAAATGAGCGTTTCTCAGTGAGAGACGCACGTTTTCGACATGCATTACATTTTCTTACAAAACAATGCCAAAACACATTTCCAGTTAATCTTGCACTAAATCTAGCATATTTTTGCTTGTTAAACACGTTTTCACAGTCCACATGATGTTCTGAAGCATAGGTATTAAGGTACAAGAACATTGTCACTGAGTTCGAAAATGAGCGTCTCTCCCTGAGAAACGCACGTTTTCGACATGCATTACATTTTCTTACAAAACAATGCCAAAACACATTTCCAGTTAATCTTGCACTAAATCTAGCATATTTTTGCTTGTTAAACACGTTTTCACAGTCCACATGATGTTCTGAAGCATAGGTATTAAGGTACAAGAACATTGTCACTGAGTTCGAAAATGAGCGTTTCTCAGTGAGAGACGCACGTTTTCGACATGCATTACATTTTCTTACAAAACAATGCCAAAACACATTTCCAGTTAATCTTGCACTAAATCTAGCATATATTTTCTTGTTAAATACATTTTCACAGTCCACATGATGTTCTGAAGCATAGGTATTAAGGTACAAGAACATTGTCACTGAGTTCGAAAATGAGCGTTTCTCAGTGAGAGACGCACGTTTTCGACATGCATTACATTTTCTTACAAAACAATGCCAAAACACATTTCCAGTTAATCTTGCACTAAATCTAGCATATTTTTGCCTGTTAAACACGTTTTCACAGTCCACATGATGTTCTGAAGCATAGGTATTAAGGTACAAGAATATATACATATAGATACATATATACTGTACATATACATACATATATACATATGTATATATAGATATATACATATAGATACATATATACTGTACATATACATACATATACATATATACATATGTATATATAGATATACATACATACATATATAGATATACATATACATATATATATATATACTGTATATATCACTCCTCCTGCAGGTGGTGCCGTTCGTGGAGAAGGTTATTTCCTTCCTGCCAAAGTCTGCATGCGTGTGATTCCAGCCCAGATCTCGCTGTAACCCGAGTTTCTGCTAATTAGCGCAGCTTTATGAAGAGACAGTTTGAAGTGTTGGTTTTATTTTACTCATCAGGATCAGGTCCTGGCTTTACATCAATGATTATCTGTCCATTTGCTCAACTTTCACACCATCATGAGGGTTTTATTCACTGGTGTACATTTCATTGGCTGAAATTAACAAGAGAGAGAGAGAGAGAGAGAGAGAGAGAGAGAGACATTACATCTCTGACCTCCTGTGTGTGTGTGTGTGTGTGTTTGTGTGTTTGTTTTTCTAGCCTCCATAGTGGAGCAGAAGTGGTGGTGTCAGATGCATCCATGCCTCGACGGGGAGGAATGTAAAGTCCTTCCTGATCTAAAGGGCTGGAGCTGTGCTACAGGGAACAAAATCAAAACCACCAAGGTGAGTAGAAAGGTGGAATCTTGGTGCTAAAATCTACTGTACGATATTTCAGGAAACAAAAAACTAAAACTTCCAGGGAAACAGCAGAATCACATCTACCTTGGTTTATTTTTCTGTTAAAAACACCGACGTCATCTTTAAAAGTAAAGAGAAATACCTTCAAATTAGACCGTATTATCGTTTATTACTGACCTATTGACACTTTCACGTAAAACTTTTGTGACCGAAATTTAACCTAGCATAATGCTAGGTTAAAGCTAGTACTGTCAGACTTGGCTCTGGGAAGATTATAGTTTTGGCGCCCCCTGTGGGCAAACCACGATTTAATTTTCTTCTCAGGATGAACCTCTCATTTAATTTTTTATTTTTTTAAATCACCTTTCAGAATCATAATAAAATTTAAACGATATGTTATTTGTTGGCCCAATGGTTCTCAACCTCTGGTCCAGGAGATTGTTTTTGATTGGATAAGTGTACTACTATAATGTACCTTTGTGGGATCTTCAAAGACAGAGGCGTCAAGCGAGCGTTTCAGCGATATGAGTTATCAAAACGTAGAGGCTAAAAAATTGGACTTTTATGTGATTTTTATCTCTCTATCGATCTTATTTTACAGTCTGTCGTACGAGTTCTTCTGAAGTGCAGCACTAAAATGGAAGAATAACAAGTCCCTGGTTGGAGGCTGAGTGTAGTCTGAAGACTCAGGTCTTTGGTACTTTACAAAAACGCAAAAAAAAAAAAAAAAAAAATCCTCAAAGAGAGAAGAGGTTAATACCTGTTCGTCAACTCTGCGCCTAAAAAAAAAATCACAAGTTAAAAGTGACTCGTGAATGACTTGGAGTGACGATACGACGCTCCAGTCACTGCGAGTCTCTGACACTCAGACTCAGGTTGAAATGACCTTCAGTTGGACGACGATGGTTCAATGTCAACTTCTGTTACAGTCATCTGCCCCCGCCTGCGAAGTCTCCTTAAAAAAAAAAAAAAAAAAAAAGTGCTAATGTTTGCAGTTGCTGCTTGCGCCCTGAGGGGGCTGTAATCAATGGGCTGCCATGTCTCCTTAGCACTTCCAGGCCACTTGGCGCACCAAACTGGCCAATTACTCACTCCAATTACGTGCTTTTAACATTGTAACTTGATGCCCACATCCTTCAGTGTGTTATGACGACCCGTGGACCTCGGTTCTGCCTCCCTCCATGTACTTAATTATTTAAACTGCTCACACCACACCTGCCTGGAGCCAGGAGCCTGGAGCCTGGAGCTATTGATTTGCCGATTTGTCGGGACCTCAAAATGATACATAATTCTCTTTTTCCCTTTTAGCATCCGGGGCATCCGTGATAAGGCTAAATGTCAATTACTGTTCCGATGTCGATTTCGGCCATTGTTATGAACGATAACGACCTTAAGGCTAACTTTATGTTGTCTTTTTCATGAACGTGAAGATTTCTGCCGACAAAGACCAGCTTTGGTAATGGCCGCTACGTCAAAGCACAGTCCAGGTAACTAAGCTGTTTTGTTTTTTAAAATATACTGTACATACACACATACATATACTTGTATATATTTATGTATGTATTTGTATATATTTATATATGTATTTTTAGATATTTTATATATGCATATATAAACAGGTATATTTATATATATTTATGTATGTATTTGTATATATTTATATATGTATTTAGATATTTTATACATGTATATATAGATGTGTATAATTATATATATTTATATATGTATTTGCATATATTTTTCTATATGCACATATATACACATGTATATATGTGTATATATATGAATACATAAATATATGGATATATATTTTTCAAATATATAATAGAAATATATTATTTTCTAATCATCAATACTACTTATTGTTGCCTATTTTTTCTACACACACTGGGAAAACGTTTGATTTTTTCAAAGCACTTGACGAGCTTAAAATACTAATCATCAATACTACTTATTGTTGCCCATTTTTTCTACACTGGGAAAACGTTTGATTTTTTTCAAAGCACTTGACAAGCTTAAAATTCCAGCTCATGTCTGTGTTCCAGGAATATACAGAAAAACTCGATTAATCATGATTAATTGAGAAGGATCCACAGCTCTCAATTGAAGGGTTCAATTTTCAGTATTGGTTTGAACTTTTCTTTTTTTTTTTTTTGAAACAAACAGAATATTAACATTCCGTTGACATCCAACTAAGGTGACATGTCGGTGTGACTACAACACGTGTCAAACCCGAGTGTAAAACCACAGCTTGAGGGAAGTGCTAGTCGACGTGTACGATCCGCAGAGACTAGAACACCCTGTTCAAAGTGCAGGTATTACCCGCAGGAGTCGCACCCACACCTTTGAACTCAGCCAGAAAACAAGTTTCTTATGTTTGGAGTCTTTCTGCAGGCTGACTGAGGCAGCAGGGGGTCGCACTCTCTTCATCACCTCTGCTGAGCTTTAGGGGGTGGGGGGGGGGGGGGGGGAACCTCCAGCTACACTGACCTCTATCGCTCTGTATTAAAATTGCGTTCAAACATGGAATCACCTGAAGAGTAAACAGTACCGCACCAAACTAAAGTCAAGGCAGAGAGTGAAAACGTTCTGCACGTTTTCCATGATCTGGGAAGTCGCAGTCGGAGAAGACGAGATGTCGCGACGTTGAGTTTGGATCTTTACTCTGACGAATCGTACGAAAGATCGTACATGGTTCTGACAGTTCCACTGACTGTCACCTAATTCACGATGTTGCCAAGACTATAAGACTAAATATTCTTACGTTATTGTCAAAATACTACGTTTTTTTGTAGATATACAAACAAACTCAAATGTCAACATTAACCCAATCACAACCAAACACAACATTTCGTAGGTAAATAAAATTTAAATTCAATAAATGAAGACAAACCAATCCCCCCCCCCCCCCCCCGCTCTCCGCAAACAGGAGTTTCTCTACAGAACTTCCAGGAGACTAATGATATCAGTTCCTAGATATCCACAAATTCGTCACAGTTTTTTTTTTTTTTGACTGCTGTCATACAGATTCTCTGGGCCAAGATAACAAAAGAACAACACACAGAGAGAGAGAGAGAGAGAGAGAGAGAGAGAGAGTAATCAACACAAAACAAACAGTAATCACCGATGAGTGAGTGCAGGTAGAGCGGCGTGTGTTGGCAGCGTAGCAGCAGTTGGTAGGAATCGGTTCCCAGCTTCAGTTCTTCATGACAGCAGAGCCAAATAAATGACTTAAAAAATACTTCTGATTTCATCTATTCTTTAGGTTTTTTTTGTAGTATTTGAAGAGTATTCGTGAGTTATTTTGGTAGACACTTCAACCAGGAAGTTGTGAAGGAAAGGGAAAAATGAAACGTAAAAATCGTTTTGAATAATCCTGATTTCAATATCAATCAAAGTACTCCTGCTGAGACAGTGTCGCTATCATGTTGTTAGCGGCGGGAGGTGGTCGTTCAGACCTCCTAAAAGTTCTGGCCAAAACCAAAAACCGACGTCTGGAGAATACAAACTAGTTTCTCTAGTGAAATTGTAATCTCATAAAAAATAATCATAAAAACATGGACCACATTTCAGAGAGGGACACCGCCGTCCACCGATCGTCCAAACAGGACAAACGCGGTGGTGCTGTGTTAAATCCATCCGCCAACCTTTTCTCCAGACACGAGAACGAATCCTTCGCTGCTTAAATTAGCCGTTGTCAGGCACCAATTAAAGCCGCACAGCAGACTCTGAAGCCTCCGTCTGGATTTTTCACCATCGTCACCAGGAAGTTGTGAAGGAAAGGGAAAATGAAAAATCGTTTAGAATAATCCTGATTTCAATATCAATCAAATTACTCCTGATGAAGACGGTGTCGCTATCGTGTTGTTAGCGGTGGGAGGTGGTGGTTCAGACTTCCTAAAAGTTCTGGTCAAAACCAAAAACCGGCGCCTGGAGAATACAAACTAGTTTCTCTCGTGAAATTGTCATCTTATAAAAAATTATCATAAAATCATGGACCACATTTCAGAGAGGGACACCGCCGTCCACCGATCGTCCAAACAGGACAAACGCGGTGGTGCCGTGTTAAATCCATCCGCCAACCTTTTCTCCAGACACGAGAACGAATCCTTCGCTGCTTAAATTAGCCGTTGTCAGGCACCAATTAAAGCCGCACAGCAGACTCTGAAGCCTCCGTCTGGATTTTTCACCATCGTCTCAGACAGTCACTCAAACACTA